AGGGAAGGAGTGTGGCGGGGTGGCAGATCGAGGTCCCTCCAGTAAGGGAGGAGGGAGTGGGACAGAGGCAGGGGTGGATCATGAGACAGTTGGAGCCTGGGCACCTTGTCCAGGGGTGCAGGGGGGGCTCCTACCACTGCGCGCATCCCAGGGGAGGCACGGGGGGCACATGCCCCTCAGATTTGTGTGCAGGGCAGAGGTGGGCTGCTGCTGCAGGCTGGGCTCTCCGTCCTGCTGCCATTGCCCCGGAAGCTGCGCGATGCAATGGGCCTTCCACTACCTGGCTGCGCCACGTCCCCTGCCTGCCTGGCTGTGGCAGGCACATGGCATTGTGAGGTTCCCAACACAGCAGCAGTGGGGCATGCCCATGTCGCAGTCCCAGCCCCCACCTGCCCTGCCCTGACAAAAATGTCCAGGATCTTGCTTTCCTCTGCTGGTGTGGGCATGGGGAGGGCAATCGGAGGCAGCAGGGAGCCCTATGCATCCACATCTGCAGGCAGGTATGTCTGTGCTCCCTGCTGCCTCTTATCACCCTCCCCCTGCTCCTACCAGTAGAGGAAAGAAAAATCCCAGACATTTGGTTAGATTTAAAAAACGTATCTGGACAGAGATCAGAGGGCTCCAAAAGAGGACATGTCCGGGAAAACCCAGACATATGCTAAACCTAAGCAGTGCTCCACTTGCCACTGGGCTGTGTACAGGTTGCGGCTATGCCTAAATCTATGCACACCTCTCCCCCTACTGCAGAGGCCCAGAGCCCATACCTAGGCCGCCCTTTGCCCCATGCTTGGGGGTGCTAAGCCCCATTATCCTATGAAAGCAAAGTATTTCCAAAGATTTACATTAGTCTTTATAGATTTTAAGACTACCACAGCCAGCTCAGAGTATACTGTTGCTAAACTGCTATCACCATAAGGCTCTACTAATGCCAAACATGTGTAGGATGTACCTGATCTAACTTAGACTACCTGCAAGGTAGGGTTAAATTAAATTAGAGCAGCCATTTTTTGACCAATCTAATCTTCCTAGAACTTCTGTACAGTTTGCACTTAGATCAACCTAACTAGGGGTCTAAATGTAAGGTCTATGGGAACTAAGTTAGATCAGGTGGCCATTTTTAACAAAA